AGCATTCCCCTCCACCCCACCTTTTCTTCATTCACTTCCTGTTATTGAGTCATATCTGTCCCTCTTCCACTAAATTGTAAATAATTTTTCATAGCAGAATGAAAAAAATCTTCTAAAAATGACACCCAAATCACTCTTACAGAGGGAACTGTCTTTAGCAAGAAAATTATTTAGGTATGCCATATGGGAGGAAGGTAAAACCTTAAACACAAGTAGTCAAGGAACAAAAAGATAAACAATTGTGCATTAGAAATAAATAGGACTTTGGTGATGGGGAAAGATAAGGGGAGAGAAATGAAGAAGGGGAGAGGGAATGAGAGAACAACTTGGTGGGGATCTGAAGAAAACCTGAACAGCTTGCACTGCTACACTAAAAACCTTTTCTCTTCTGTCTTCTGAAAAGTTCACTACACACAAATGCAATATGCATGCTTGTTTCTAGCTGATCGAATATAGCTAAGGTGATAGAACAGCCACTCCCTTGATTAGGTTAAATGATGTAAGACCCAGACTTAGCAGACCAGAGAGAGAGAGAGAGAGATTGTTCAGTTAATAAAATAATTGCCGTGTATGAAAGGGCCATATGACAAGCTCTTAGGCCAGCTTAGGAGTACTCTAATTAAGGTAATAACAATGTACCTACCTATACAGTTTAAGTGTAAAAACTGTGGCTCTCCAAAGAAATTTCAATCGTTGTACTGTTGATATTTGGCTCTGTTGACTAATGAGTTTGCCGACCACTAGTCTACCCTTTTACCCGGAGACTTTACTCTCTAAGCTATTATACATGATGGAAGGTGGCCTCTCTGCCTACTCCTTGTGCCCCCTATTACTGATAAAGTTATTTTTTTATTTTTTCAATATATTTTATTGATTTTTCACAGAGAGGAAGAGAGAGGGATAGAGAGTCAGAAACATCGATGAGAGAGAATCATCGGTCAGCTGCCTCTTGCACACCCCCTACCGGGGATGTGCCCGCAACCAAGGTACATGCCCTTGACTGGAATCGAACCCAGAACCTTTCAGTCCGCAGGCTGATGCTCTATCCACTGGCCAAACCAGTCTTGGCTGATAAAGTTATTTTTAATTCTTTGTTTCTTAAGCCTATATGTGAACAGCGTTAGAGTGGTCCCTACCATAAGTTCAATTTGCCAGGATGAGAGAGAGAGAGAGAGAGAGAGAGAGAGAGAGAGAGAGAGAGAGAGAGAGAGAGAGAGGACCCAGGAGGCCCAGGCAGCCAGAGAGTCTGTAGAGCTGTGGCGTTGCCTGGGCAACAAGGAATGTGTGAAGTGTTGTCCCGGGGAGGCAGAGCCTTGCTGTTCTAGGAGCCACCAAAAAAGACAGATTAGCTAGCTCTCTCTGGAAAAAAACAAGCTTTTTGTGGCCCTGGAGGAAGGCATTTTTTCTTTCCTTGTTCTTTTCTAAAGTTCTCCTAGGTAGCCTTGCTCTGGCTTGCTGTTGAGAAACATCAAATAGAAAGTGGAGAGGGAGTCGAAGCCTTCCCATGGCCTCACCCTGAATGCTGGTTTTGCTGCCTGCAGATTTCTGTAACGTTGAGGAGTCACTCAGAGGAAGAGCATTCTGCAGAGAGATGAGGTCTCCAAAGGTATGGGTTTGCTGAAACTGGTTTGACTCAGTGGATAGAGCGTCGGCCTGCAGACTCGCAGTTCTCAGGTTCGATTCCGGTCAAGGGCATGTACCTGAGTTGCGGGCACATCCCCAGTGGGGGGTGTGCAGGAGGCAGCTGATGGATGATTCTCTCTCATAGATGTTTCTAACTCTCTATCCCTCTCTTCCTCTCTGTAGAAAATCAATAAAATATATATTTAAAAAATTGTTAAAAATAATTTTTTAAAAAGGTATGGGTTTGTTGGGAGAAGCATGGGATCAGGGTGCAGGGTGGCACAGGGTCCTGGATACATTTCTGTAAAGCAGAGGAGGTGCTCCCATTTCCATACTCTCAAAACTGAAACACATCAAAGCCTTTTCTGCTGAGAGTAAATATTTGATTTCTGAATAGAATTCCAGCCCCCTCGGAAACTGAGAGGAACCCGGGCTTGTGTCCATGGCTGCTGAACGTGCCCTATTCAGCCGCTCTCCAGAGGAACAAAGAGGAGAAATGAATTGGCTTTAAAGGGATGGAATGATCCAGTGTGCTGACCTATTTAAGCCATAGTGAGGACATTCTAGAGAACATTTCTGGAGTCCTGTTCTTCTCATAGAAAATGAAAACAGGTTGAAAACTCATGGGGAAGCCACACATACGCCCAACTCATGAAAGCTTTCATTGTTTTCCTTCTCCTGGATCCTCAGATGGTGTCCTCCCACCAACCATGTCCAGAGAAGGATTCACTCTCATCCTCTGTCTCTCGCCTCTTTTCCCAGAGGGAGGGGCAGACGTGGAAATCAGCTAGTCTGCTGTGGAAAGAGCCCTCCACGTTCCAGAGATTAGCAATGCTACTGGTGGAAATGGGGTCCTGCCACAAAGTAGCAAGGAAAGCATTTCCAGGACCCAACACGTGGGAAGGTGAAGGGTAGTGGTAAGATCGGGGTACAGATAAAAGACTGCCTTATCTCCATCCATCATGTCTTATCTCCATCCATCCCACGGTGGAAGAAGTCCAGCCTTGTTTTCATCAAGCCCAGAAGAAGGGCCAGGGTCCAGGGTCTGTGCCATTGGTTCAATCCATGCCAGAGCTTAGCCCAGCTCAGACTCTGACCCCATCCAGCTGGCTCAGTCTCTGTTCCCAGCTGTGCTCCAGCCATGAGGCCTTGCTGTTTTCAGGTTCAACACATGTTACAGAGAAAGAGAGAGAGAGAGAGAGAGAGAGAGAGAGAGAGAGAGAGAGAGAGAGAGAATATGCCTATGTTAAGCTTTCGTTATATTACTCTGGTCTTTCAAACTGACCAATCTCTTTCCCAATCCTTCAGGGGTTTGTGCTGTATCCTCCTCCTAGCTAATCCATTTCCTAGATTTTCTGGGGTTCTGTGTCCCTTATTCAATCTGATTCTTTTCCCAGGCTAGAGACCTCCTCTTTATGGTCACCATCTTCGCTTTTACTGCTGCAAGTCCTAATGTTCTGCTGCTGTCATCTGGTTCCTACTGTGTATGTGCTTACCTCCCCCTGCACCAGCTTGGCTTCTATTGAGCATGTGCACAAATGATTGCCCTCCTCCTCCCCTGTACCCCTCCCCCGATCCTGCTACAAGGTTGGATGAGACCAAGTCCCTGCTGCCAAGGATGTGTCAGTCCCCTGGGCAGCCTTTGAATGCTGTGGCTTTCTAGCGAATCAGACTTATCTTCTGGTTCAACTCCCTTGTTTATTAGGCTTACTGTCTGATTCTATTTGCTCCCTTCCTTTATTAGTCCTAACTAGCTACCTTCACTAATACTAAGGGGGGAGGGGAGGCTAAGGCGGAAGGAGGCTCATTTAAAAGTAAAAGAAGCCCTAACCGGTTCGGCTCAGTGGATAGAGCCTCAGCCTGCAGACTCAAGGGTCCCAGGTTCAATTTTGGTCAAGGGCATGTACCTTGGTTGCAGGCACATCCCCAGTGGGGGTTGCGCAGGAGGCAGCTGATCAATGTTTCTAACTTTCTATCCCTCTGCCTTCCTCAGTGTGAAACATTTAATTTATCTCAAACTGAACTCTTTATTTGTCCCCTTTCAAACCTACTCCCTTCCACCATTTTCCCCATCTCAGTATATGACAACCTCATCCTGTCACTACTCAGAATGAAATCCCTAGAATTTTCCTTGACACGTATCTCTCTCTCTCTCTCATTCTCTCTCTCTCTCTCTCTCTCTCTCTCTCTCTCTCTCTCTCTCTCTCACACACACACACACACACACACACACACACACTCCATATCCAACTTCCAACAGGTCCTAAAAGTCCTGCCTCCCAAATATAGTATCAAAAATCCAAGTACATCTCAATAATATCTCTACCATGAATGACTTCCCCATCCAAGACACCCTGATGTCGTCTTCAGACTCTTGGAATGGTCTCCTCATTGGTCTACTCGCTTATGCCCCATTCACTCAGTCTATTCTCATTCAGCATCTAAAATGATTAGTTAGCATTTTAAATCACATTATGGCCCCCCTTTGCTCAAAACCTCCCAGTGGCTCTCCATCTCAATGCCATCGGGTGGCTTACAGCGTCTATAATATCTACGATTACCCACCCCTAACTTTTGACTTATCTCAAAACTCCCCCTCTCTTACTCTGCACACCAGCCTGCTTGCTAGGCTGGGCCCAAACAGCTGGGAGTAATTGTACTTGCTGTTCCTTGTACCTGAAACATTCTTTTATAAAACGCTTCCTTGGAGATTACAGTAGCTTGTTCCATTACCGACTTTGCATTGGAGTCTTTGCCCGAGAGTATCTCAGTGAAGCCTTCTCTGGTCATCCTATCTAAACTTCATGTCTCCTTCACTGACACACCTTTTTTTTTTATTATTATTTTATATTTTATTGATTTTTTTATAGAGAGGAAGGGAGAGGGATAGAGAGTTAGGAACATCGATAAGATAGAATCATCCATCAGCTGGTTCCTGTACTGGGGATGTGCCCGCAACCAAGGTACGTGCCCTTGACCGGAATCGAACCTGGGACCCTTCAGTCCGCAGGCCGAAGCTCTATCCACTGAGTCAAACCAGTTTCGACAACACACTTTATTTTTTATTTTTGCTTTTTGGGACAGTCTGAATGTAAGACTAGGGCGACACATCAGCAGTTCCTTCCGACCGCCGCGCGAGGACGGGAACACTACCCAGCGGCCCCGAGCACCCACTCGTTTCCGCCCGGTTCCTAGCGCCTTCACAAGCCCCGCCCCCTCAGCGGAAGTGACGGACTAGGCGCGGACTCCGCCCTCACGCCTTATTCGCCGGCCCCCGGGTAGCCCGGAAGGGGCGGGCTCAGAGAGGCTGAGGGGCGGGGCGGGGCGCCCCACCCGGAAGTGGCGGTTACCCGGAGGGGGTTAGTTTAGCATCCAGGGTAGAGTTTGAGTTTTGTGAGTTGCGGTTGACCTCTCAGCGGCAGCGGGACCCGTAAGGCCTCAGAAATAGGCTTTTCTCTGTCCTGGGATCCCCTCCTTCTTCAGCGTCTGCCCCATAACCGGAAACGGATTATTTGGACTCTCCCTCAGACCCAGGTTCTCACCACCCCCCACCCCCCACCCCCAAACCCCCGTTCAATCTATCAGTCTCACCTCGCTGTGCCACCCCTAGGTACAGTCCTCCTCTCAGTCAGACCCTTCTACTCCCCATTTCTTCCAGAGGCAATTTTTAAACCTCCGTCCCCCTCCCTTATTCCTTCCCGCTGCTTTTCCCTTTCCTCTCACCTTCTTCAAGAATCCCCGTTCTTGCACTTGGTCAGGCTGCTTGCTGCCTTCTCCAAGGCTTCTCTCCGTTTTTAGGGGACTGTGGCTCATGGGTTAGGAAGTCTGAGCGCTTAACGCGGCCGTGTGAAGATGATAAGCTTTTTTCTTTCTCCTAACCAGGAGTCACAGATTTCAGCAAGTATGGTCCCCCTCAAGAAGCGACGAAATACCCCAAAGTTGCCCCTGGCTTTAAATCCCCAGAAGAGCAAGGACGTGTTGGCAGTGCTGGCGGAGAGGAACCTGCCCATAGTGCCAGTTGGGGCATGGGTGGAACCTGCCTCACCACACACTTCGGAAAACACAGCGTATGTGAGTGTCAGTGTGAACCAAAATAGTGGGGTTCCTACCTCATCTCTCCCTTTTTTTTTTTTTTTTTTAAGCCTCTCTGGTGCTTAGATAAAGATAAACAGTCTGAGGATGCTATTTCTCTTCGGTCATAAATAGATATATTCTTGCATGAGGGTTATAGAACAAACACGTGTTTATTTGCCAAAACTTACACACGTATACATGTATGTATTTCAGTTTACTGATTCCTTGTTATATGCACAAGCAGTAGGCAACGTCTTTATCTTCCATACTTTCTGTAGTGTATTCAGGACCACCAGTTGGCCACATTTCATGTAACATTAATTATTAATAATCTGTTAAAGTTTTTGATAAATTTGGTAATGGAGATTCAGGCAGTAATAGAATATAAGAGGAAAGGATGAATTCTGACTGGGATTCTGAGAAATTCCATGGGGACAGAGACCTTTATGTTATGTTCTGTTCATTCCTGGCCTGGTCTGGTCTTCAGGGAATACATGTTGAATAAATGAATGAATGAATGAATGAGGAAATACAGTTTGTGTTGGACCTTAAAGAATGGATCTGCTGTAAGTACAAGAGAAAGGGGCATTTCAGATGAAGCGACACTTCTGCAAAATTTACATGTATGTCTGTTTACATGATTAGACTCATACTAAGTAACACAAGAGGATAATTTTGTAAGAAGACTTTTATAATCTTTCACCAAATTTTCACTTCACTATTTGTCCAGATTTTATTGTGACTCTTAACACATTATATTCATAGTAAGTTGTTTATATATCTACTTTTCCTGATGGGGTGTGAGTTCCTGGATCACAGGGGAGAAAAATCTTACTTATCACATTTCTATCTTTATCTAAGTTCCTAACAAATATGGGCATTGGTAAGTATTTATGGAATGCACAAAATGTGTGAAGATCTTCTGAATGTATAAACAGGGTTCTGAGCATGAAGGAGAAAAGTATGAAGTACATTTACTTAGTGGTCCTTGATATTAGAGGAGAAATATATGTTTAAATGTTAAATAGTAATGCAGTGTTTATTTTATTTATGTTTTTATGTATATAAATTACATACGTATTCATTTATTTCTATTCTGCCTATTTCCAGAAAGGATTTTAAGAGTTTGGGTAATGGCCGAAACTGGTTTGGCTCAGTGGATAGAGCATCGGCCTGCAGACTGAAAGGTCCCAGGTTCGATTCTGGTCAAGGGCATGTATGTTGGTTGCAGGCACATCCCCATTGGGGGTGTGCAAGAGGCAGCTGATTGATGATCCTCTCTCATCAATGTTTCTGACTCTCTATCCCTCTCTCTTCCTCTCTGTGAAAAATCAATAAAATACATTTTTTTTTTTTTTTAAAGAGTTTGGGTAATGTATAACTAAGTGCTAAGACTATGGTATTTAAAGAAGATAAGACTTTGTGAATACTGATCAGGGACTCAAATGCATTGAAATGTTCCAAATTGTTTACAATATGGATTGGAATTGAGCATTACACAGATATTAAGTACCTTTCTATTCAAGTCTCTGTGTTATATACTGCAGAAGAAAGAAAGAAGAATTAAATACATTTTCTGCCCTCAAGGAAATCATAATCTAATGAAGGAAACAAGAAACACTATACTCAGTTAACATTAATCAGAGGTACTAAGCATAACAGAGCTGAGAGGAAGAAAGGATTGTGGAAGGTACAAGGAGATTGCTATTAGATGGTCTGGGAGATTGAGTAGGTCTTTACTAGAGATTACAGGAAGGCATGCAGGGTTAAAAATGAAGCATAATTCTGAGTATGAAGACATTTTAGAATAAGATATTTTAGTGAGTGATGAGCAATCTGGTGTGTCTGGACTGTTTCACCATTTTAGAAAATGTATATTATAAGATAGATTTGAATTGAATCATTAAGAATTAGCCGAAACCGGTTTGCTCAATGGATAGAGCGTCGGCCTGTGGACTGGAAGGTCCCGGGTTCGATTCCGGTCAAGGGCATATACATTGGTTGCAGGCACATCCCCGGTAGGGGGTGTGCAGGAGGCAGCTGGTCGATGATTCTCTCTCATCAATGTTTCTAGCTATCTATCCCTCTCCCTTCCTCTCCGTGAAAAATCAATAAAATATATATATATTAAAAAGAAGAATTAATGACACTGTTCTCAGTTCAGTGAGAAATTCAGATTAGATTTGAGTACTCTAAATTCCAATTTTTATTTGTGATTTCTTTTAAGTTCTCAGCACTCACTAGCTATGTCTAGATTATCACCTCTGAACTTCTGTGATTTCTTTACTTTCCTGGGAATTTTGGATTATAGAATTTATTTTTTTCAGGATTGTTTCCTTACTTGTGTTTATAACAGGACCCTATTGGGAAAAACAGTTGACATTAAAGTTCATTTTCTATCCTTTATCTTTAAAGACTGAAGCATATATAATTGAAGAAAAACTAAAGGAACAGGCAAGAAAAAAACAAGAAGCTTTGAAGCGTTCTCAGAGACTAGCCAAACACCGAGTAAATCAACGAATTAGTATAAGAAAAAAGCAACAGCTTCAGAAGTCTTCTGAAGAAGTAAGTTCAAAGTGAGCCCTGAGTAAAGAGTGGAAACTAAGTGTTATGAGATAAGCTATTAGTGTCAGATCACTTTCTTTTGATTCCATGCTTTGTATAATCCAGTTTGCTGGTAAGAGCAGTAAATGTGTATGTAGAGAAACCATGTCTTATTCCTGTGTTCTGACTCATTTTTTGCTTCTACTAATTAAAAACAATGTTTTGGATTCCTTTTGGGGTTTGAATTTGGGCTTATGCTATTTTAAAAATTAAATTTATTGAGGTAACATTGGTTAATAATATATAAATTTCAGGTATACAACATAATTCATTGTCTGTGTACTCTTATTACGTGCTCACCACCCAAAATTTAGTTCTCTTGTGTTATCAGATATTTGACCCTCTTTACTCATTTTGCTCTTTCTTTCTGGTAACTATCATTCTGTTGTCTGTTACCTATGAGCTTGTTTTTGTTTGTTTTGTTAGTTTGTTACTTTTTTGTTTGATATTCCACATAAGTGAAGCCATATAGTTTTTGTCTTTTTCCATCTGACTTATTTCACTTAGCATAGTACTCTCAAGATCATTCATGTTACTACAGTGGCAATTTTTAAAAAATGTCTAAGTAATCTATCTATCTATCTATCTATCTATCTTTATCCATTCATCCATTGATGGACACTTAGGTTGTTTCCATGTCTTGGCTATTGTAAATAATGCTGTAGTAAACATAGGGATACATATATTTTTATGAATTAGTGTTTTTATATTTTTCATGTGAATACCCAGAAGAGGAATTGTTGGGTCATATGGTAGTTCTATTCTTAATTTTGAAAGGAATCTCCATACTGTTTTCCATAGTAGCTGCACCAATTTACATCCCCACCAACAGTGTACAGGGTTTCTTTATATCTTCGTCACTTAATATTTCTTGTCTTTTTTAAAATAGTGATTCTAGCAGGTATGAGGTGGTATCTCATTGTGGTTTTGATTTGCATCTCTCTAATAACTAGTGATATTGAATATATTTTCATGTCTGATGGCCATCTGTATGTCTTCATTGGGGAAATATCTGTTCAGATCATCTGCCCATTTTTTTTTTTAAATCAATCTTTATTGTTTATATTACAAAGGTTCCTCATTTCTTCCCCCTTCCACCAGGTTCCCACCCCACCCTCTGCCCCCTCCTACCCCCCATTGTCCTCATCCATAGGTGCACAGTTTATGTTCAGTCTCTTCCTCCCTCCCTTCCCCCCCCCCCCAGAATAGTCAGTCCACTCCCCTCCCATATCACCGACTCAACTACAATGCACCGCTATTATTGTTCATCAGGTTTTTCAATCTCCTTTTGTTGTTTTTTTTTTAATTAATAAACTTTTACACTTCTAAGAATAAATTTTAAAATCTAATAATTTTAAACCTTATTTTTTTTCTGCCCTGGGAATTGAGAGCAAACTTGTTTACATGTAAACTTGCCCTTAGGCTATCAAAAGGTGTAACCATTCAAGTGTAAATGGACACATTGTTTAAAGATAGCTGCTGGTTGGAATTGGATTACCTGTTCTGGGTGGGAAGGGTTTGTCCTCCCCTTTCTCCATTAAAATTAAGGTGTTAGCTTTAAAACCTCTTTTTGGCAAGAGACCTTAAACTTTCAGAACTTTAAAATTTTCAGATAGTAAATCAGTTGCTTAGCATTTTCTCAAATCAATAATACCTCCACATGCCCAAGGATACACTTCACACAAGGCACTCACAGATCTACACCCCAGCGCTATACTAACTCAACACATCCAGATCTAAGCCTTCCTCATTTGATTCAGCAGACCCTCAAGTTCCCCCAAAAGTTTCCAGCCATGTCTGAGAGGCAGCCTTGGGGCGGAGGCAGGTGAGGAGCGAGCTGTTCCGGACCCGGCTGCTCCTGGCCTGGCCTCTGTTGCTCTGATCCGCTCCACAACCAGCTGCTCCGGGTCTGGCCACTGCCGCTCCCGAACTGGCTGCTCCGCTCTGCCCATTTTTTAATCCGATTTTTGTTGTTGTTAATTGAGTTTTATGAGATCTTTATATATTTCAAATATTAGCTCCTTATCGGATATGTCATGTGTGAATATCTTTCCATTTGGTGGGTTGCCTTTTTGTTTTGGGGATGATTTCTTTTGCTGTGCAGGAGCTGTTTAGTTAGCTGAAGCCCCAGTTGTTTATTTCACTTTTGTTTTGCTTGCCTTTGGAGTCAAATTCACAAAAAACATCTCTGAGACCAATGTCTGGGAACTTAATTTTTTTCTATGTATTTTGTTATTTCTGGTCTTAAATTCAAGTCCTTATTCAATTTTAAGTAATTCCTGGGTATGATGTCAGAGGGGTCTAGTTTCATTCTTTTGGATATGGCTGTCCAGTTTTCCAGCACTGTTTATTGAAAAGACTTTCCTTTATCCATTGTATGTTTTTGGATCTTTGTTGTAAATTAGTTGCATATATAGGTTTATTTTGGGGCTCTCAATTCTGTACCATTGGTCTATATACTTGTTCTCCTGTCAATCCTATATCGTTTTGGTTACTATAGCTCTGTAGTATAGTTTGAAGTTGAGGAGTGTGATTTGTGTATATTTCTAGTAGTTTGTTGGTAGAGTCTTTATTTAGGGTTTTCGATATATGTAGTCATGTCATTGCAATTAGTGACAACTTTCTTTCCTTCGAATTTGGATGCCTTTAATTTTTTTCTTGCCTTATTGCTCTGGCTAGGACTGCTAGCACTATGTTGAATAACAGGTGAGGTGGGCATCTTGTCTGTTCCTAATCCTAGACGAAGAGCTTTCAGCTTTTCATCACTGAGTATGATTTTCACTATGGGTTTGTCTTAGTGGCCTTTATTATGTTGAGGTACTTCCTTTCTATACTCATTTTTTTAGTTGTTTTTTTTTTTCCTTTTTAATCAAAAGTGTATGCTATAACTTGTCAAATGCTTTTTCTACATATCTTGAGGTGGTTACATGACTTTAAAAAAAATATATCTAGAATTAGGCAGTTGGACTCAGTTAAGATAATCCCAATTTTGCTGACAACATCCAAAGCATCATCGTTAGGAGCCAGTGGAACACATGCCTTCTTCTCTCCATCTGATCAGTGTTGACCTTGGCCACATCAGTGTCATAGAGCTTCTTCACAGCCTCTTTGATTTGGTGCTTATTGGCCTAAACATCCACAGTGAATACAAGTGTATTATTGTCTTCTATCTTCTTCATGGCTAACTCTGTAGTCAGGAGAATTTGATGATGGCATAGTGGTCAAACTTGTTTCTCCCAGGTGCACTCTTCCGAGGATATTTAGGCTGCCCCGGAGCCTTAGTGTGTTTGGTTGTCGGAAGGTAGGTGACGTGTGTATCTTCTTTCTGTGGCTGTGGACACCTTTCAACACTGCTTTCTGTGCCATCTTCATAAAAAGGAATTATGTGATTTTTATCCTTCATTTTGTTAATGTGGCATATCACATTGATTAATTTGCGGCTGTTGAACTATCCTTGCACCCCTAGAATGAATCCAACTTGATCATGGTATATGATGGTATAGATGTTTAACTTGCTGTAGATGTAAGGGGATATGCAAAGGGATCTTCTCACTTCTCATGATGCTCACCTGGCTTATGCTTTTTTATTAGCAATGTGAACTTAGGGCTAATGACAACTTCTCTGGACTGTAGTTTCTTCACCTATAAAGTGGAGATATAATACTTGTCCCATAAGACTATTGTGAGAATTAGATGAGATAATGTAAATTATTAGCACATAGTAAGTGCCTGGTAAATATGTTTTTGCCAGATTTCTGATACATCCCTCTGGAACCAATTTTAAATCTTTTTGACCGCTTATGACATTATTTGATTGTATTGGGTTGGGGTGGAATCTCACTAGATTCATGTCACTCTTCCTTTGTGTAGGTAGAAGAAGAAGAAGATACTGTAGCTATGCTGCCTTCAGATCGAGGACAATTAACTTCTAAAAGAACAAGTGTTTTTCCAAAGAATTTGAATGCTGCTAGTGGAAGTGCTTGGTTATCTCCTTCCCAGAAGCTTGATGATGGAATAGAAAATAGAGAGAATCAGAATCAATTATTACAACAAGCCTTGGCTGTAAGTGCATATTTACTTTATATCTACAATTTTTTTTTAGGTGAATGACATATTAGGATATGAAGTAGAGATGAGGAGGTACCACATTCAACTTCACTTTTTCTCACCTTTTTAAAAATCTTTATAAAGTGGGAAATAGTGGGATGATGTTTATTTTAATATATGTTTAAAAATATCATATTTATTTTTGGTAAGACAATTTAGAATCATCTTATATAAGGTACCAAAGTGTTAAAGTTCAAAGTTATTAGAAAGAGCTTGGGCCAGGTAGCTCAGTTGGTTAGAGCGTTATCCTAATACGCCAATGTTGCCGGTTTGATCCCCAGTAGAGCACATACAAGAATTAATCAGTGAATGCATAAATAAGTAGAATAACAAATCAGTGTTTTTCACTCCTTTCCTCCATCTCTCTCAGTTTGTAGCATATGGACAGGGTGATCCAAACCTCTGTTGCAAAAAGGTTACTACATATATGGGGAATTTTGTTTGTTCATTTTTTTGGTCGTTTAATCTGATTCTCATAATAAATAGTTCTAAAAGTCAAATAATAATATAGGAAAGTCTCAACACATTCAGAGGTTTGTGTAACTTTTATTTAGTGATTCATTTTATATACCTGATATTTCAAAATTAATCACCATCGGTAGATTCATTCACTTGAATCACTTGATGCCATCAGTCAACTCTATTCATATGCTCAGCTTTTGTCCAGTTGATATCATATATTTCAAGTCTGCTATGGGAATTATTCTTCATCTTAGCACTTAAACATTGTATTCCTAGGGATAGTGAGAGGAAAGCAAAATGTGGAAAATGATATTTTTGTGAAAGTAAAAGTTGTGTAACCACTAATGTGTTTGGTCACAGTATGAAGCAAATCCAATTGTGTTATTAGTATAAATAGGGAAAGCTTTATAAGCACATGTTGTGTTGAAATACTTAAAAATATTTTTTTTCTTTATCCAAAACTACAACATTTTCTTTGTTTGATTTGTAGTAATCATTTTTATAATCATTTTTGTTTTCTTTTATAAGATTTTGAATAATTTGTTTATGAATAATATGCAGTGCCTGGCTCAGATATTTATTGAGTCAGGCACTGCATACAGTAAAAGGGATAGAACATTTATTAAGACAGACACATTCCTTGCTTTTATGGCCCTTGTAGCTATAAATCCCACCAAAGTAAGGATTTTATTTCATCTGGTGGGCTAATAGATCAGTCCACCAGATGAATTGTTTGTTCAACATTGTAGGGATACTAATAAAATGTGAAATAGGACCCTTTGTGGGTTTATATTTACATGTAGACATACAAAGCTTATAGACCCCAATTTAATAGACATTAATATAGAGATACTTGCTGTATTTGGTGATAAAGTTGTGTTTTGGCAGTTAAAAAATAATTTAAATTTCAAAGGAATAGTTAGGGAAGAATTCCTGGAAGCGGTGGAATTGAGCTGCATATTTTGAATTGTTAAGCTGAATTGAATTGGTAAATTCAAGAGAATTTTGAGATAAGAGGGACAGTTAAAAGTCTGGAATATGTATTAAGCTTGATATATTTGGGAGTAAGTGACAGAACCTTTCTAATGCTAGTTTATAGAGGAGAAAATAGAAAATGAGGTTAGATAGAAGGAAATCAAGTTATGAGAAGCCTTAAATGTTTCAAAAATTTTTAAAGTTTTAATAATCCTTTTTTTCTTAAAAGATGAACTACTAAATATTCAGTGATTTATACCAGTGGTCACCAACCAATAGCCCGTGGACCACTGGTGATCCGTGAGGTCCAAAAGGTTGGCAACCGCTGAATACTACTTCAAGCCTATAAACTTTTATCCACACCATACCATGGCAATAGATACTGTTTCTTTTGCAGTTTTTATCCACTAGATGTCACTAAGAGCTAGATAAATGAGACTGTTCAAGCACAGCCGCCTTTAGTTTATCTAGAACTGGTTGCGTAAATAGTGGATGTAATTCTCTTTCTGAATGTAAGTGTACTTTTCAATTTTCTTATGATTTAAGGATGAAATAGTTTGACATCTGGGGTGTATTTCAAAATAATGTAAGGGTGAAGTGAAGTAGGGGGTTATAAATAAAACAAGATTGGCCAAGAGTTATAGATTGAATTTATTTACATTTTACATTAAGTGTTAGAGAAGAAAAGACATTATCTAGTCTAACCTTTCTCTCTCTGAGGAATTCTTTTTATAATGTTTCAAGTATACATATGGCCCTCTAATTTCTGCTACAGCATTGCCACTGTTGACCAACTTTCTTTTTAGATTTTAGAAAGTTTGAAATAATTACAAATAATATTACTCTTTGGGCCTAGTTTTGTACTCTCAAGTTATAGAAGATAAAATACCATGGTGATCTCTAAGAACACATCAGGTATTGATTATAGCTATCATTTTTCTCCTTTTGGATTTTTACATTCCTTGACTCTACTAGCTTTGGATGTCTGCTAGCATTCCTTTGCTTGTGGCCATATCATACCAATCTCTGCCTCTGTTTTCACATCACCTTCTCTTCGGGTCAGATCTTCCTCTACCTCTTATAAGGATACTAGTGACCCAGCATGTGAAATTGCATGGTCCCGCCCGCCTCCCAGCCTTGACACCCTAACCTCTCCACCCAGAGCTGGAGCATGCCTGGCCCCGCCACTAACCCCTCTGGGCTTCAAGCCCCGCCTTTGGTCCCTCAAGTTGCCTCGGGCTGGTCCTGCCATCTTCAGAGCAATGCAGCGGCTCCGCCCCATCATGGCACCAGAGGAGCGTGTAGAAGCCTCATGTCTGCTGCAGAGTTTCAAGTGCTGCTTCCTGGTGGCACGCGCACTGCACTCCATCCCCTGGCAGGTGGGTGGCAGGTGCGCTGAGTGCAACAGTGGGTGGCAAAGGACTGGTGAGGGGCACTACGGGCTCTCACCCCTGCCCTCCCTGCCACGGGATGGTCCCGCCTCCTCCAGGCACCACCCTGTTTCCGCTCTGTCTCCAGAGCAACTTGGCAGCTCTGCCCCACCACACACAGCCTCCTGCTGAAAGGTCACTACAGCATGAGGTTGTAACGACCATTAGCGTATTAGCTCTTCATTACATTTAGGGCCCATCTGGATAATCCAGTAATATTTCCTCATCTCAGGACCTTTAACTTAATCACATCTGCAAAGGCACTTTTTCCTTATAAAGAAACATTTAAAAGTTTCAGGTACCAGGACCAGATATCTTTGGGTAGCCATTGTTCAGTCCTCATAGCAGGTCACTGAAAGGGCCTTTGGATTGAGGTTTGATGAAGGGTTTAGATAATGACAGAGAAAAGAATGAATATAATATATATTCCAACTGCTGGGCTAGTCGAAATTCCTGCGTATGGGACTAAAATCAATCTGTGACTCTAATAGAGTTTTAAACTGGATGGAAAATGAAAAGTATGTATCCTCATTTAAATCTGTTCCATTGTGCAAGGCAATAACATGCATCCTACTTGGTGAGTAAAAGGAGGCATATTCGCCGGCTGGTGTGGCTCAGTGGCTGATCATTGACCCATGAACCAAGCGGTTTCCAGTTCAGTTCCTGGTCAGGGCACATGCCTGGGTTCCAGGTTCAATTCTTGGGGGGACATGCAGAGATAGACGATCGATGTTTCTTTCTCATTGATGCTTCTATCTCTCTATCCCTCTTCTTCCTTTCTCATAAAATCATTTAAAAAAATTTTTAAAGGAGACATATTCATGGCTTTGTATTTTTTTATAACCTCAACTGCACATATACCTCTTTTTGCATTTTAAGTAACTTGTGATCCCTTTAGCCACTCTGTGCTAACCAAATGTAGGAATCTCCCTCCTAGTAGAATAAAGATTGGTGTTTCAAGCAGATTTCTCTGGTTAGAGTTATAGAGATTCTAGAAACAAGAACAAAACAGAAGTGATATGTGGTGTAAGGAAACTGGGCTGGTTGTGTGAGTGTTTTTTGTCTCTACTTCACTATTAAAAAAATCACAACAGTATTATTTACTAGAGGCCTGGTGCACGAAATTCGTGCATTGGTAGGGTCTTTAGGCCTGGCTAGGATCAGGGCCAATCTGTGGGACGACCGGCAGGGTGATCAAGGCCCCTCTCACCCCACTTTGGCTGGGCTGGCGCCGCCCACTCACCAGCCCTACCCTCTGCCCTGCCACTGCTGCCAGTTGCCTCCCTCTGCAGGGTGACCTGTGGGGCAAACCGGGAGCCTCCACTCACACCGACCTTGGCTGGCCTGGCACCGCCTGCTCGCAGGTCCTCCCCTCCACTGCTGTAGCTGGTCGGGGCCTATGGGTTGGGGCAGCTCCTGCATTGAGCATCTGCCCCCTGGTGATCAGTGCACATCATAGCAACTGGTCATTCTGCCATTCAGTCAATATGCATATTAGGATTTTATATAGATAGATATCTATAAATCAGAGTCATGAATTCCCTTCAAGGGAGAACTAATCTCATTAAATTTTTATTGGTTGGGTTAGAACTGGTCTCTGTTTTGCCATAATTTCACTGCATGACACAGGGATATGCTTTTCTTCCATATGATATATAATGCTTAGCCTACATTAAAGGTACTTTGTTCATTTCTGTATTTTCCTTTAAGGAACATTCTATACAGATTTATAAAATATAAAGTAGGTTGTGCTTCTCTGAAAAAGAATAAAAAATAGGTGCTTACTGAAATTACTAGGTAGAGATTAGGAATGAACCCAAAGTCAACATATTTGGTATCAATACTCATTATTACCTGTTACTTAGAGTACTTAAAATTAGTTGGTTCTGTTGAGATGTTTGAGTTTGTGTCCTCAGGTAATTTAGGAAGACTTCATGGAAGAAGAGAGATTGAGAAAATACTTTAAGTAGCTACAGTCTTCAAATGTAGGAGTGAAGAAGTGGTCATGGAAATAGGAAAGAAAGATTTTAGGAGGACGAGGAATTAGAGACATCTAGCAAGGAGTGATAAAAGGTAATTAGGTATGCAAGAATCAAAGGTAATAAGTCTGCACAGTAATTTCTAGTGTAATTCAAACTTTTAGGATCTGATAGTTTTGTGTACTAGTATAAAACATACCTTATTTTATTTATTTATTTATTTATTTATTTACTTATTTTTAAAATATATTTTATTGATTTTTCACAGAGAGGAAGGGAGAGAGATAGAGAGCTAGAAATGTCGATGAGAGAGAAACATCGACCAGCTGCCTCTTGCACATCCTCTACTGGAGATGTGCCCGCAACCAACGTACATGCCCTTGACCGGAATTGAACCTGGGACCTTTCCGTCTGCAGACCGACGCTCTACCACTGAGCCAAACCAGTTTCTGCAAACATATCTTATTTTAAAAAAATTTGAGCACTAAATCAAGTTATGAAATGCAGCCTCTTAATAAAAATAATGTAAAAACACTATCAACAGGTCACAGTCTCCTTTATAAGTAATCCTCTTGTCTCAGGTCTCGAATTTCTTAATAATAGGCATCTGTGTTCTTGTTGGAACACTTTAGTGAATTTGGTATTAAGACATTTGTTTGTTTTTTCCCCCCTTTCCCTGACAGCTTAAGAAAACCATGAAGCAGGCACGTTACCATCTGGCATCCTTTAAAACTATGAGTAAAAAATTTTCAGCAGTGTTTCCACGTGATATAAGGGAAAGCTTTTCCACTGATGAGGTAAATTAATTTCTAATTATTTTTTAAAAATAGAGATAAGAATACAGATAAATATTTATATATAATTTCAACATTATTTACAACCGTAAAATAATTGGAAATAACCTTAAATATCCAATAGCAGGGAACGGTTAAAAAATTATGATATATCAATAAATAGCCATTCTAAAAAAAAAAATCATGATTTCAAAGAACATCTGAAGAGAAGGGAAAGTGTCTGTGAGATAAAGTTTATTGAAAAGAGTAGGATACAAATTTATATACAATATAATCTCAATTTAAAAAAATCATTCAACAAATATTTATGGAACATCTATAAATGCCAAGACATTGTGTTAGAAGCACGTGAAAGTTGGACAAAGATCCTCAAGGAGCTTCTGTGCTGTGGGGAGGCATATAATAAAGAGATATCTATTATATATAGAATATAATTTCTAATATATATTCTAATATATATCTAACTCAATATATATCCTAATATATATATTATATATAGAATATAATTTCAAACAGTAAGTGCTATGAAAAAAAAATAAAGTAAAATAAAGAGATGGGGATAGAATGCTATGTGCATAGACAAAAGCCTAGAAAGAAGTGGATCAAGAAGTTAATACTGCCGAAACCGGCTTGGCTCAGTGGATAGAGCATCGGCCTGCAGACTGAAGGGTCCCAGGTTCAATTCCAGTCAAGGGCATGTGCCTTGGTTGTGGGCACATCCCCTGTTAGGGTGTGTGCAGGAGGCAGCTGATCGATGTTTCTCTCATCAATGTTTCTACCTCTATCTCTTTCCCTTCCTCTCTGTTAATAGTGATAATTTCTGAGTAGTTGTATTACAGGTGATTATTATTTTCTTTTCTTGGTTTTCTTTACTTAAAAATTACTTTATAATGTATATATTTTGCTTTCTAATTAGGAAAAAAAATACCATTATTTTTTAAAAAGAAAGAAATTGCTTTATTTATTTATTTTTTTAGATATATTTTATTGATTTTTTACAGAGAGGAAGGAGAGGGAGAGAGAGTTAGAAACGTCGATGAGAGAGAAACATCGACCAGCTGCCTCTTGCATACCCCCTACCGGGAATGTGCCCACAACCAATGTACATGCCCTTGACCGGAATCGAACCTGGGACCCTTCAGTCCGCAGACCGATGCTCTACCACTGAGCCAAACCGGTTTTGGCAAGAAATTGCTTTGATTCAACAGATAACATAAGAGTGAAAATTGGAACCCAAATGTGGAGCTAGATGAAAAAGATACTTAAGGCTATACTTGTAAAATAACACTGTTTTGGTACCTATTTATCTCAGTGTTCACATATTTGAATGCTAAACTCCTGTACTTTCCTTTGTTTACCTAATTTTGGGATTTTTAAGTTTTGGTAGCAGCATCTAGAAAAATGGACCATTAGGCTTTTTCATTATTATTATTATTATTATTATTATTAATATTATTTTGCTACCATAGACTCTGTTTTATTTAGATCTTTCTGAGTCTTGCTTCTTGATTAGTATTCTTTAATATTTTCCTAGATTATAAATATATATTTTATTTTTGTATTTTTTTTCTTAAGTATCTCAACAGTCCAAAAATACTTGTCACTTATATGTTTGCAGATGGTAGAATACTAAATTATAATGTCTCCTTCTCCAATGTTAAGAAATTTATAGTTAAATATCAAAATACAAGTGGGCAGTGGTGTGTATCTATATGTGGCATTCTTCTAGTTGCATTCATACTGGTTACCTTTTCCTAAAGAGCATTGCCTTATTGAGACTCAAGGTAGAGTTCCTTTTGTATCTAAATTCTTCTCAGTGGCTTGGTATCTTGACAATTTTCATACCTACCCTAGATTTGGATTGACTCAAGGGTACTGTTAGAGGCGATTGGACACAGTCTCATAAACCAGAGAAAAGGGGTTATTTGATGCTAGAGATTGATATTTTATATTGTGTGGAACATGTTCAAACTGTTCAATTGTTTTTTCCCACAAAGAGTACTGTTCACAGTTTTGAGTGTACATTTTTGCACTTCTTTTGTAATGTCCTGTTTTCGTAATATTGGACTATATTGACCTACTAAAATTATAGTAGTAGTATGGTAAAGCCTAGGTTGTTATTACAGTCACATTGTTCCCACCTGTAATAGGTGGGTTTTTAAAATTTTTATATATTTATAATTTTTCCATTTTTGTTTGTGTGTTCTTTAGGAGCCTGACTCTGAGGAATCTTCATCGATTACGGTAGACAAGAAAGGGAGAGAAAAATTGTTAAGGCAGAACCAACAGGGTTTCCCTTCTGAAAAGAAGAACGAAGCGTTCAGCAGAGGTCAGGTAAAGCAGAGTGAAAGGAGTTAGTATAATAGAAATTAAACTAATCTGATTTAGACTAGGGATGCCAGTACTGTTGTATTGGTTTGGGGTTGTAGATTTAGGTTACGTGGAACAAAGACAATAATTTCACATTTTAGTCTAATAAATATGAGAACCATATCCTTTTAAGATAATTTTAAGAGTCTCTGTAAAACCTATATTTGATGTTTATGTTCACTTTTAGAAAGCACAATTCAAAAATCCATTATGTGATGTAATAGAAGAGGAACAGCTAAGTAAGCTACATCCTCAGGATGCTCTGCCAGAAACCCAGGATTATCTTTCAGAAGACCAAGATGATCTGCTGGAGACCCAGGGTGATCTGACAGGAGTGCAGAGTGTTGAGCTAGAAGCCCAGAATATTAAGCCACATTCCCAGGCTGTTGAGCTGGCAGGCCAGCCTATGGAAGACCAAGTTGTTGAATCCAAAGCCCAGGCCATTGAACGTAAAGTCCATGTTTTCAAGGTGGAACCTCAGTATCTGATGTTGGAAGCCGGGAATGTTGAACCAGAAGATGGAAATATGTTGGGTATTTTATCCCCAAATCAGGCTTTTCTACCCAAAGACCAGAGCATTCTACCCAGTGATCAGAATATTCCACTCAAATGTCAGGACCAACATTTTTTACGCAAAGATCAGCATTTTTTCCCCAAAGACCAGGATATTCAACCCAAATATCAGGACCAGGATTTTATACCCAGATTTCAGGTAAAATAGAGTGGGAAGGAGATAAAACAAGAAGAAATAAGATACTTAAGGTTTGGAGTGAGTTTTGCAGGGTCTGATTTGGAGATTCATAGTTGGGAAAGATAACATCCTGGTTGATTTCTAAAAACTCTGGAGTTCTCATTAAATCTTAAAGTAATATCAACAGCATGTTACCCCTGTCTGGACACACACACACACACACACACTCTCTCTCTCTCTCTCTCTCTCTCTCTCTCTCTCTCTCTCTCTCTCTCTCTATATATATATATATATATATATATATATATAAAATTGATTTCAGAGAGAGAGAGAAATATCAATGATAAGAAAGAATAATCAGTTGTCTGCCTCCTGCATGCCTCCTGCATGCCCCCCCCCCCCAGAAGCCCTTGATCAGAATCAAATCCTGGACCCTACAATCCCCAGTCCAATGCTCTACCCACCGAGCCAAACCAGCTAGGGCTGGACAATTTATTTTAAATAAAATCTTTATTAAGGAAACTATTTCTGGCAGCCATAATCTGCTTTCACAGCTAAAGATGGGCAAAGGAGTGGCCCACAAGTGGCCAATAATATCTTTTACCCGGTTCCAAGGCCAGCTCTCTCCTAGAGATCACTTAGACCAGAAGAAAGACGTCAGGGATTAGCAGGAATTACTTAGGGGTGTGGCTGGGCTAATGTGGAATAGAGTATAGTGTTTTGTTTTATTCCATAAGATGTCCAGTTATTCTCTGACCTCAGAGAACTCCAGAATTCTCACTATAGCCTAAAGCACTATTGGTTAACATGTCTTTCTAACTGAACAATTGCTATTTTGTGTTTGTCTCGTCTTAGAAAGCAAGTTAAAGCAGCCAGCATCAATTTGGGTAGGTAGGAGAGGGAGAAAGGTATTTCCATCAAAATCAGGCCTCCATCAGGGACATGGTAGAACAGAAAAGAGAGAGAGGCCAGCAAGAACTGAGTTGTTTAGGGTTTAGTTTGGAGCTTGCAGAAATTGTTCTCAGCTAGAACGGACAAAAAGTGTGGTTTCCTGTTTTATTCGATAGTATCCTAAGTTTAAAAATTACCATAAAGTTCACAATAAAGCCCAGCCTGTGATTGCTATCATATTCCTCCTACTAGACAATTTACATTTATTATTTTTTCTTTTAGAAAGTCCGCTTCAAGGAGCATTATTCTGTTATAAATGAGAAAGGGAGAGATGACTTTTGTCTGGCAAGTTATCAGTCTCCGACTCCTAAAGTCCAGGACCAGATGTTCATCAGAGATCAGGTAGAATGGAATAAGAGATAAATGGGAAGTAAAGTGCTAGATTTTAGACATTCTCATCAACTGGTGATGTGCAGTGTAGAGTCAGGTGCAAAGGTCCCTATCTAATGAACAGTATCAGTCAAATCAGAAAGCTAATAAACCATGTTCAGATTCTTCTTTTTGTTGTTATACCTCACCTGAGGATATTTTTTTTAAATTGATATTTATATAGAGTGCAAGGAAGGGGGAGAGACAGACAGAGAAACATTATGTGAGAGAACCACATCAATTGGTTGCCTCCTGTATGCGCCCCAATTGGGGCCAGGGATCAAACTTGTGACACGGTATGTACCCTTGACTGAAATCAAAAGAGACCCTTTAGTCCGCAGGCTGATGCTGTACCCACTGAGCCAAACCGACTAGGGCACCATGTTCATATTCTTAATGTAGAATCAAACTCTTTTAATTTACTAAGATGACATTACAACTTTTGCTGAAGCTTGTGGAATTACCTTGCTGTAACTGCCCTGACATGAATAAAGTAGGAAGAAGTAGCAGATCCTAAATTACTTAAAATTATAGGTGTTTGTCAGACTATTCTGTACATGGTTTGGGATTAAAAATTAAGGCCTACAGAGTTGAGCTAAAAGTGTCACATTCTTGTTCAGATAAAAATGTATCAGAATATCTTTACCTGATACCATTTCCTTGGTACCATTTCACTGAAGCCTATAATATTATGATTAGCATGTTGTCCCAGTGAGACAATTTCTTTTCTGTGTTTTTGTTTGTTCCTTTAGAACATGTTTTTCAAGCAGCCATCATCTTTTCTGAAAGAAGTGGGAGTGAGAGATGAATATCCTATGGAGTATCATCATTATGTTAACCCTCAAGTCCAGGACCATGCCTCCCCTGGAGATCAGGTAGAACAAGACAGTGGGGAGGATGTCACTTTGCAAAGGAGTAACAGAGACAAATTACTTAAGATTTGGACTGGGGCTTATCAAGCTAGCTTGTACGTAGGATACATAGATTGAAGGCTTCTGGAGTTAGGTTAACAATATCGTCTTTTCAGTTCTTTCAAAATGAGCCCCTTCTAAAGACTCCAGATGAGAAAGTGTACCTCTGTCATTTGGGTTAACCGAGAGAGAGGTTTTATATAATATTGGTTGGTTAACAGTAAATTTTTTTTTAAAACTCTATTCCTGTAGCCTATTTATTTGGCCTTATACATCTGTAATATCTATAATAATAAAAATGTAATGTGCTACTTAGATTGGACGTCCTTCCGGACGACCTTCCGGATGAAGCCAGGGCTACAAGTGAAGCCCGGGTCCCAGGTGCCTGAGGGATGCCGGTACTGGCAGCCGGGGAAAGGAAGGTCTTCTCTTGCACAAATTTTGTGCATCGGGCCTCTAGTTATTTTATAAATGCTGAAGGGATTCTACACTTAGTCAATGGATGCAGGATACCAAACCCGGGCATCCAGTTTGCAGACCAGTTATGATAGATACAAGTTATTTGCTGCCTCAGAACTTCCTGAACTTTACTATCTCTAGTGTTTGTGCATGAATCATTGGGGACACCAAATAGGAGTACTTGTGGAAATGACACAACTCATCTCCTGGCTTTTCCTTGGGAAAATACTAGCAACATTATAAAAACACTAGAGGCCCGGTGCACGAAACTGTGCACTGGGGAGGGGTCCCTCAGCACAGCCTGCCCCCTCTCACATACTGGGAGCCCTCAGCGGATGTCCTGCTGATGGCTTAGGCCCAGTCCCTGTTGGAGCAGTCTGGCCTTTCTTTGCGGGAGGCAACCAGGCTGTTCAGGGGAAGGCGCCAGTCCCATCACCCCGCTATTGCAGCCACTGCCAGTCACCACAGCCACCAAGGTATTTTCATCAACATGAAAAAATGATAACTTTCTTTAGGCATTTTCAAGATGTGCCTTTCATAAGATATGACATTTCTTTCTTTTTCTTTTCTTTTCATCCTCACCTAAGGATATGTTTCCATTGATTTCTTTTTCCCCCCCTTCCCTCTGGTTCCAGGCTCAGCCACTTCCCAAGCCTACAACCTCCACTCCAGGCTGTAGGCTTGGGGAGCAGGCACACCCCCGCCCCTCCAATGGCAGGCATAGCCCCTTCCCAAGCCTACAGCCTCTACAACAGGTACACTCGTCCCCCAAACCTAAAGCTTCTGTGGGATGGCCAGCTGGGAGTGACCTGGGTGCCGAGGAGGTTCCTGGAACCCAGTTATGTATGCAAATTAACTGCCATTTTTATTGGGTTAATTTGCATACTCACTCTGATTGGCTGTGGGTGAGGTGGAGGTATGGTCAATTTATATGTTTCTCTATTATTAGGAAAGATTGCCTTGTTGCTTTATCTTCTTTTAACTATGCTATTGAATAAATAGTTTCCCTATGCAGAAAGAAAAAGTAAAAGAACAGTCTGGGTTTTGCTTTAAAATAAACCAGAAAAAAAGTGGGAGATAGATGAAAAAATAAAGTGTTGTCCATTATTGAAGCTGGGTGAAGGGTATCTTGGGACTCATTATACTGTGTTTTTTCTCTAGTTTGATGTGTGTTTGGAAATTTTATATTAAACACACACCCCTTTGTGAAATTATCCTACCCTAGAATCATTATTCTGGGATTGTCACTGAAATCTACATTATTGTCACTAACCCATCGTTTTTACTTAGACAATTAGTTTTTATTTTATTTTAAATAAATCTTTATTGTTCATATTATTACAAATGTTCCTCATTTCCCCCCCCCCCCCCATTGCTCCCCTCCACCAGGTTCCCACCCCACCCTCTGCCCTTTCCCCACCCCCCTTGGGTGTTCTTGTCCTCATCCATAGGTGCACAGTTTATGTTCAGTCTCTTCCCACACCCCCCTCTCCCCTTTTCCCAGTTCATGTGTATAATATTTTTTATTTCGACAATGTATTCTTTATTTCTTGTTGATCCCTTATTATTTCTTGTTGATCCCTTATTATTTCTTGTTGAACCCTTATTAATTCTTGTTGATCCCTTTTCATCTCCTCATAGGTCTTATCGACCTTTTCTAGGAAATTCTTGAAAAACCTTATAAGCGTGGTTTTGAACTCTATATCCAGTCTCTTCTTTCCCTCCATTTCTTTTGTTTGTGATCTATTTCCTTGTCTCGGCATTTTCACAGCTTCCCCGAGTTGGTAGGGTGGCTTTGTGTGCTAAGGTGTCCTATATGGTTCAGTGAGTCAGCCTCCCAGTTACCTGAGGTGGACAGTCTTGGTGTCAGTTTTGTATTTTGTTGTTTCTTTAAAACAACTATACCAAGCAATCCTGCCCCCCCCCCCCTTTTTCTTTTGAGAAATGAGAGTTTGAAACAGGAATTGCTTCTGCAGTGCCATTGGTTTGTTTCACCCAGAATTCAAGACCTAGCTTCTCTAGAGAACAAGCAGAGAATGCTCTAGTAAGGAGTAAGTAGCAGAGAGTAAATTGCTTAGGTTTTGGCTCAAGATTGACGGCAATGTGGTAACTGCCCTGGGGGTTTAGTTTTAAGGTCAGTAATAACGGACAAAGATACAATATCCTTTGTTTTGTGATATATCACACCATCTGACCTATGAAACGACTTCAGGCCTCTTCACTGAAGCATTTACTGTTGCCCTGGCATGATGGTCCTGCTTGGAAAATGTTCAGTGTTTATGAGTCTTTTAGCACAGGAACTAGGAGCAGGCCTCACATAATATGACAGTTGAGACATAGAGAGGGGAGTTATTTCTGGAGTGCCATGAATATGTCGTGCATTAAATCCAGGATTCAAGCTCTGCCAGAGAGCAGGTAGAGCAGAGTATGGTAAAGAGTAAGTAAGCAGTAAGAAGTAAATTAGAGTTGGATCTGGGCTATGCTACTAACAACAGTGATAATGATGATGGTGATAGTGTTGTCTCTTAATAATATTAGTAACATTAATATTATTATGATTGACAGCTTGCATTTTTATGTTAAAATTATTCTAGAACCTTATGTCCATTGTTTTTTCTTGTTTTTTTAAAAAATATATTTTATTGATTTTACACAGAGAGGAATTGAGAGGGACAGAGCGTTAGAAACATCGATGAGAGAGAATCATCGATCAGCTGCCTCTCGCACACCCCCCACTGGGGATGTGCCCGCAACCAAGGTACATGCCCTTGACCAGAATCGAACCCGGGACCTTTCAGTCCACAGGCCGACGCTCTATCCACTGAGCCAAACTGGTCCCGGCTAGAATCTTATGTCCATTGTCTCATTTAATCCTCACAATAACTCTGGGAGATAGATTTTGTTATTATCCTTGTTTTATAGATGAAGAAACTCCCATTGCTTTGTGGATACGGTTAAGGTCCAAATAGTGCACAGGAATAGGTCTACTTTTAGGCCATACTGTATCATATTCTTCTGACCTATTTAGAGGACCTTAGGGCTGTCATTGCAGCCTATAGTATTTTTACTACCAATATGCCACTGCTCATACATTTGGTGGGTGCTTTTGTATCTTTTTAGAGCTTAGACTCCAGGCAGCAGCCATCTCTCAGGACAGCTGAAAGAAGGCAAGATATGTTTCTGGATGGCCATCAGCATCTTCCAGCCAAGCACCAGAGAGAGGCTTCCAGCAGAAGGCAGGTATGAGCAGTAGAATGCAAACAGGAGTGTAGGCACTTACTGAGCTGCAGGTGGTAAGGCTGAGCAAAAATCAGATTCTTGTTTTATGTCATAGAGTGTAAAGCCTATCCTGACCTAAAATTACTCTAGGGCTGTCGCTGAAGCCTACTGCATTGTCAGGAGCACTTGTTGCCTATTTTGTATTTTATATGTATGTTCTTTGTGAAAGGTGTATATCTGGTGGCTATTCTCTTTTATGGTGTGAGAGGAGAAGAATGAGTGGTTTCTGAAAGGGGAAAGGTCAGGGGGATCTCACAGCTAATGGCCAGGACTAGATCTCCCTCATAAGCTGCTAGAGCATATGGCAGGGTCAGCAAGAAATAAACTATTCAGAGTTTGGACTGGAGCTTGTTAGGGTTTTGTAATATTGTCTTAAGTGTTGGTGTTTTTGAGTAAAGATCAATGGTTTTTCAAGAAAATCTATACTAATAATAGAGGAATATGCAAATTGTCCAGGACGCCATCACAGTAACAGTAATGACCAGCAGGCTGCGTCAGGCAACAGTAAAGGCCAGCAGGGAGATTATGAGGGACTACCAAATGACTGAACAGCAGGCTGCATGGGGCGACCAGGCCTGCATGGGGGTTAGTGGGGGATGACCAAACGACTGAACAGCAGACGCATGGAGTGACCAGGCCGACGGGCGGGGGATCCTGGATTCTCTTGCTACCTTTATTTCTGTGTCCAATTTTAAATGTTATAAGACTTTGGCTTCTGTCAAAATTCTCTAAAAAATATTGCATCCTTTTTGTTTGCAGCAGCATCACCTGGCTGGGTTCAGGCTCTCAGTCGTTTCTCACCTTCTGTGAACAGTGACTTCAGTGTTAGTTCAGTTCTCAAAGCCTTCGCTGTCCTCCTCCAGGTCCACCCCTGTTCACACACAGCTCAGGGTGACTCTGGGATGTGTGCCAGTTCATACACGGAATTAAAGGATCCTCTTTTCTAGCTCGCTCCCCTTCAGGATACCCACCCTCTACACTCCCAGATCCCACTGACGACAATTTTTCTTATAGTCAAGAGGGAGTCAGTGGGAGGGGGGCATTGGGAGGCAATCGTGGGCTTACTCCTTCACCAGTGCTGGAAGTCTAGTTTTTCTTACTTTTTTGAAAGCAGAAAATAATTTTATTCTAAAAAATATATATTTTATTGATTTTTTTATTTTTATTTTATTTTTTTACAGAGAGAAAGACAGAGGGATAGAGAACTAGAAACATTGACCAGCTGCCTCCTGCACACTCCCTACTGGTGATGTGCCCGCAACCAATGTACATATCCTTGACTGGAATCGAACCTGGGACCTTTGAGTCCACAGACTGAGCCAAACCGGTTTCGGCAATAATTTCGTTTTTATTGTAGCAGAAATAAATCCAAACAGAAAGGAAAAACTCCACAAAAATTCCAGAGAGAACCATCATAAGCCTTTTGCTATTTCTCATTTTTCAATTTTACCATAACAAATAAAGAAATCACTTTAAAAAGAATAGCCTTATTGAGATATACAGTCAAATCTTGTCATTCACGGCAGTTATGTTCTATATGGTTGCCTCAAACACCAAATTAGTGAATACCAAACCATTGCTCCTAGGGAAGATATGGGTTAGATTCTGGGAGCATCTGATCACATTTTTGTTAGCTAATAAATACATTACCTTATTGTATATGAACTGTTTAAAGACCCCTTATTTAATATAGCATTCTAGAGGCCCAGTGTGCACCAAATTGTGCATGGTTAGGGTCCCTCGGAAATCTGCCCGCTCACCAGGCCCTGCTGCCACCCCCTGGTTCACCATGGTTCCCCGATTGCAGCATGACCCCAGTTCCCCAGAGCCTGTGGGCTGGGTGCAGGGACCAAGAGATCGCCATTTCTCCCTCTCCTCGCCCTGCTGCCACTCACCTTGGTTGGCTGTGGTTCCCCATTCACCAAGCTGTGATTGGAGCCTGAGGGCTGGGAGAAGGAGCAAGAGGTCGCTGTTGTGCCCACTCATCAGTCCTGCCTCACCCCGCTGCCACTGACCTCAGTTCGCAGTGGTTCCCTGATCTCCGCATCGCTCTAGTTCCCAGGAGTCTGCGGCCAGGGGGAGGGACCAAGATGTTGCTGTTCCACTCGCTCTCCAGTCCTGCCCCGCCCGCTGCCACTCACCTCGGTTCACTGAGGTTCCCCATTTGCTATCCTGCTATCAGATACTGCCAAGAGGTGCTCAGTGCACTTCATGGTGACTGGTCGTTTGGTCATCCTGGTCGTCACAGACACTGCCATATATATATATATATGTGTGTGTGTGTGTGTGTGTGTGTGTGTGTGTGTGTGTGTGCGCGCGCGCATAGATATATATAGAGTTGAGTTTTTGCCTTTCAATTATTGAGTTATGTGAGTTCTTAGTATATTCTATATATAGGTTCCTTTTTAGTTACATGATTTACAAATGTTTTTTTCCCCCATTCTGTGGTTTGTATTTTTACTTTCTGGATGGTTTCTTTTGCAGCCACAAAAGTCTTAATTTTGATGAAAACCAGTTAATCTATTTTTCTTTTTGTGGCATTTGATTTTGGTGTTCCTGTAAGAATTTTGTATCTCTTACATTTAGGTCTGTGATTCACTTTGAGTTAAGTTTTGTATGTAGTGTTAGATAGGGGTCTAACTTTATTCTTTTTCATGTGGATATCCAGTTATCCTAACACTTAGTTGAAAAGATTATTCTTACTCATTGAATTCTGTTGGCACTCTTGTCAATAATCATTTGAGTGTGAATAAAGGGTTTATTTCTGAAAAGTGATTTCTACTTTGTTGATCTATATAATCTATTCTTATCCTGGTACCACACAATCTTTGATTACTCTACTTTTGTAGTAAGTTTTGAAATTGGGAAGAGTGAGTACTCCAACTTTGTCTTCTATTCTAGTATCATCTCAGCTATTTTGGCTCCCTTGCATTTTTGTATAAATTCAAGAGTCACCAAGGCAAACCAGCGAGGGTCTGAATCTTTTTCTTTGGTTTATTGTTTTTATTTGGTTAATTCATTCTGAAACTGCTTCTTTTTATTCTTTTTAAAATTTTATTCATATATATTTTGAATTTTATGATATATATAAAATTATAAATCATAATTTTATATATGTCAAATTTTTATTATATATACATATATATGGGTTTTTATTCAGTTGAGCTCAAGGTTGCAGGAGAAAATAATCAATAGATGGAAATATCAAAAGTGTACAGGAACTAACTTTTAGCAGTTTTGTCACTTTGTTTGACTGGACTTTTTAACAGGTTTATGATAAATATCAATCAGGATGGAACACTGAATTCCAAACTCCACTAGGACTTCAGTTTGAAGTAAATCAAGAAGAAGACAAAAAAGAGGTATGTAATGATAAATGCTTTTGGACACCAGTGTTTCTATTGTAACAATATATGTGAAATTAGGAATAATTTGTTGTGTCCTAATAATTAAGAGCTAATACTAAAAATTTCATAAAGGTTAAGAAATTACTTGAGTCGTTTTAATATGTTAAACTTCTAAGCTCCTAGGATTTAGGGTACCTTGATGTGAAATCAGAGATATTATCCTAGTGAATTTCTTCAGTTGGTGACATTTGCCACAATAACTTATTTAAAGGGAGATTTCTCATTTATGGCTTTCTTTTTGCCTCCTTTTTCAATCCAAATTAGTTTAAACCAACAATTTTTAACACTGACCATGCACCAGTATTAGATGTGGAGCTTTTTTCAGATATATATTGTTTTTGGTATCTGAAAATGTAGGTTTGGGTCATCTGTATTTTTAAAAAAGTATCACTGATGATTGTGCTGAATCTTCAATAGTGAGAACTGCTATTAGACTTTTAATGCTTTTACTAAAGGTTACAAACATTTCCTTGTGTATCCAATTGCCATTTGAGTAGCTTATGTCCTTAAAAGAGAATATATAAACCCAGAGGTATGAATGTATCACACATAATAGTAGCACTTGGGTTTGTTATACCTGTTCCCTTTAAAAGTATAATGCTCTTATATTCCTCAGTCCTCCTTTGCTCCCCACCACTTTAGGCTAGGCTTAGAGTGTGGTTTTAATTTTGAAAAGTTAGTGACTGCTCTTCTGTTATGAGATACGTCTCACATTCTTTCTGTGGCCCTGCTTCTATGGTACTTACTATTTGATAATAATAATAAATATAGTATATATTTTATCATACCAAATATAGACATTTCCCCAAGTGCCGTTGACAGGGGACTGTACTAAGAGCAAACTAAATTAGTACTTCTTTTTCTGACCTGTCTATAACATGTAATAACCATGTGCTTGAAGATATAAAGGTCTGGCTGTATGTGATATCCTGAGCCACTGTAAATAGAAGGAAATGAAGGACTTAGTTCCATGTGGCTTCCATATCATATCGTTTTCTTGTCTAAGGCCCAAAGATAATTTCTTCTCTCTTGGAAAGGGCTCTGAGAGCAGAATCTTAACAATTTTAACTTCTTTCCTTTAGCGTCAAAAGCGGTACCTGAGATATAGGCGACTTTTCATGGATATTGAAAGAGAAAAAGTAAAAGAACAACAAAGGCAAAAAGAATACAGGAAGAGAATTGAAAAGTGAGTTTTTTGATCCTCATTGTGATCCTTAAATTACTAGTTAAGGCGATTTGAGAAGCTAAGTTTTAGAAATAATCAGGTAGTGGTTTTGCCTTCTCAGCCATAGTAGGAACAACTATTTTTGATCTGGATAAAAGTAATAATAGATGTTTAAGGGCTATGTTTTTAAACGGTTATAGTTAAGCAGAAAGTACAAAGGGTTCCCACTTACCCCCTGCTTCTTCTACTGTTAACATCCTGTACCACCATGGTGCATTTGTTTTAACTGATAAACCTATGTGGACGCATTATAATCCATATTTTACATTTGGATTCGCTCTTGGTATAGTAGATTCTTACAGTTTTGACAAATGTATAATGACAGGTACCCATCATTGCAGTATCACACAGAATAGTTTCACTGCTCTAAAAATCCCGCCCTACACTGTTTATTCATCTCTCCCTCCCCCAGTCTCTGGCAACCACTGACCTTTTCACTGTCTCCATTGTGTACTGTTTCCAGAAAGCCGCAGAGTTGTAATCGTGCAGGATGTAGCCAAAAAGCCTGTTCAGTTGACTCCTTTCACTTAGTAATACACTTTAAGGTTCCTCCAACGCCTTTTCATGGCTCGGTAGCTCATTTCTTTTTATTGTCCAATAATATTATATTGTCTGAATGTACCACAGTTTATTTATCCTTTCACCTGCTGAAGGACATACTGGTTTCTTCCAAGCTTTGGCAATTATGAATAAAGTATCTATAAATACAGGTTTTATGTGGGCATACATTTTTAACTCCTTTGGGTAAATTCCAAGGAGTGTGTTTGCTGGATTGTATGGTAAGATTTTGTTTAATTTGGGTAGACGTTGCCAAGCTTTCTTTCAAAGTGGCCAAACCATTTTGCATTCCACCAGCAGTGAATGAGAATTCTTGTTGTTTCACATCCTTGCCAGCATTTGGTGTTTTCAGTGTTTTGGCTTTTGGCCATTCTAAGTATCTAATAGTATCCCATTGTTTTAATTTGCAATTCCGTAATGACGTATGATGTGGAATATCTTTTTATATACCATTGGCCCTGGAACAATGTTGGGCACCAACTCCCCCGCACAGTTGGATATCTGCATATTGCTTTTGACTCCTCAAAAACTTAACTACAGTCATCTCATATCTATGGGAGAATGGTTCTAGGACCCCCTATGGATACCAAAATCTGTGGATGCTCAAGTCCCTTATATATGGTAAGGCATTGGCATTGGCATTCATGGATTCCTAACTATAGATTGGAAATACTGTTACCATCTGTGGTGATTGAGTCCACACATGCAAATTTGGATTTTATCCTGAAAACAGGAGCCATATAGAGGCATTGTGGGGAACAGATAAGATGACTGCAACTAGATATTAGAAGATCATTGAAGTAATACACTTAGAAGGTGAGAGGTGAAATTAAATTTTAAACGAAGTCCTATTATAATAAACGTACTGTGTGTCAAGCACTTTACATAATTGTCTCTAATTGGTACACAGTCCTGCAGGGTAGTGGTGACTACTCTTCCCTGAGTGTTTACAGTGTGCCAGGCACAGTGTTGAGTGTTTTAGAGGCATTAGTTCATTTCTTCACTTCAGTAACCTTGTGAGGTAAATTTTATTCTTTTCCTTTTACAGATGAAAAAAATGAACTCTAGAGAAGTTAAGTAACTTGCCTAAGATCTTACTTAGCGATAGATCTGGGATTCTACCCCAGATTTATTTGACCCCAGCACCTAACCTCTTTGGATCTGTAACACAGTCTTATAGATAAGCCAGGCCAGGAGGCAATGAGGAGAAGGCAGTTTTAAGAGCACACGAGGATAATTGATAATTTTGTCAGAGAATTCAAGCATAAATTTTAGGTTTATGGTTTAAGCCACCAGGTAAATGGGGTGCTATAAAGCAGATTTGCCAGGAAGGAGTAGGTAGAGGTGGGGAGTATACATTTAATTTGGAGCATATTGGGTTTGGCGTGCTTAAAGGAAATCCAAGTAGAGAGTCCAGTAGGAAATAATTCAGTTATTTTTAGTAATGATTTTAAAAATCTCTAAGAAAGAATGCTGTCAGAATCAGGAAACAGGAGACAGGAAGGTTGAAAGAAAAACAGGATCAGCAGGCAAAGATTAGACCTACTAGATTAGACCTTAATCCTGTTCTGTCAAAGAGGCAGATTTCTTCCACTTCCTTGAGAAGTTATTTTTCTAACAGGGCACCTCTTTAACTCCTGAAGTAAAGCTGTTTCTTAATCTTAGAAGTAGAATTTCTTTTAACTTTGTAAAAGATTAGTAGTGTGGCCTTATCTTATGATAGATGACTGAATAACAAGAGTTTTTGAGTTGTTGAAATGATAAGAATACTAGAGGCCTGGTGCACAAAGTTTGTGCACTGGGGGAGGGGCTTAGCCTGGCCTATGCCCTCTTGTTGTCTGGGAGCCCTCGGGGGATGTCCGACTAACAGCTTGGGCCCTCTCCCCACAGGCAGTCGAACATCCTTAGCACTGCCACAGAGGCAGGAGAGGCACCTGCCACCACTGCTCTGCTCACCAGCTGCGAGCTCGGCTTCTGGCTGAGTGGCACTCCCACTGTGGGAGCACACTGACCACCAGGGAGCAGCTTCTATGTTGAGCAGGATCGGGCCGAAACTGGCTCTCCAACATCCCCGGAAGGGTCCCAGATTGAAAGATGGTGCAGGCAAGACTGAGGGACCTCACTGGTACATGATCGGGGCCAGGAAGGGATGCAGGAGTTTGGTCAGCCTGGGAGGAACTGCGGGAGGGCACCAGGGCATGTCTGGCCCATCCTGATCAGCTGGACTCCAGCAGCAAGCTAACCTACTGGTCAGAGTGTCTGCCCCCTGATGGTCAGTGCACATCGTGGAAAGTGGTTTAGTGGCCTTAGCATATCATTAGCATATTATGTTTTGGTGAACAGATGGTTGGACACTTAGCATATTAGGCTTTTATTATAGAGGGCACTTTTAATGTAGTTTGCCTGTGATTTATTTTTAGGAGTCTCTTTAAAATGTAAATATTGATGTCTACTTGTTTCATTGTGCAAATACATGGGATAGCAATATTATATTAGTCCCTTAAAAAATTTTTTTAAATCAACCCCAATCGGTTTGTCTCAGTGGATAGAGCATCAGCCTGTGGACTCAAGGGTCCCAGGTTCGATTCTGGTCAAGGGCATGGACCTTAGTTGCGGGCACATACCCAGTGGGGAGTGTGCAGGAGGCAGCTCATCAATGTTTCTAACTCTCTATCCCTCTCCCTTCCTTTCTGTAAAAAATCAACAAAATATATTGTTTTAAAATATTTTAAAATCATAGTTGACATTCAGTATTATATTCATTTCAGGTAAACAACATACTAGTTAGACATTTAGATAACTTCCAAAGTGATCTCCCCTGGTAAGACCTTTACCCACTTGGCACCACACATAGCTATTACAATACTATTGACTATATTTCCTATTCTGTACTTTACATTCTCTTGACTATCTTAACTGCCAATCTGCACTTCTTAATCCCTTCACCTTCCCCCTTCCTGCCTCCAGCCCCCTTCCCAACTGGCAACCACCAGTTTGTTCTCTCTCTATATGACTTTGTTTCTGTTTTGTTTGTTCCTGTTATTTAGACTCCACATATAAGTGAAATCATATGGTATTTGTTTTTTTCTGACTTATTTCACTTATAATACCCACTAAGTCTATTCATGCTGTTGCAAATGGTAAGATTTCATTCTTCTTTATGGCCAAGTAATATTCCATTGTATATATGTACCACATCTTTATTCAATTTCCTGTTGAACACTTAGGTTGTTTCCATATTTTGGCTATTGTGTATAAAATGTTCTTCATTGCCTTTTGTTACAGCCTTTGTTTTAAAGTCTGTTTTTGTCTGACATAAGTATTGCTATTCCAGCCTTTGTTGTTGTTTCCATTTGTATGAAATATCTTTTTCCATACCTTTATTTTCAGTTTATGTTTGTCTTTCAATCTGAAGTGAAGTGGGTTTCTTGTAGACAGCATATATATGAGTCTTGTTTTGTTATCTATTCAGCTACCTCATGTCTTTTGATTGGAGTATTTAATCCATTTACATGTAAAGTGATTATTGATAGGTATATATTTATTGCCATTTTCTTTCTTTTTAAAAAATGTTTTTTATTTATTTCAGAGAAGGAGGGAGAGGAAAAGAGAGGTAGAAACATCAATGATGAGAGAGAATCATTGATTGGCTGCCTCCTGCACGCTCCCTACTGGGAATCAAGCCCGCAAACCTGAGCCAAACTGTCTATGGCTATTGCCATTTTCTTTATAATTATGTCCCTCTTTTTTTATTTTCTTAAAGAAGTCCATTTAACATTTCTGGTAATGCTGTTTTGGTGGCAATGAGCTTCTTTAGCTTTTCTTTTTCTAGGGCGCTCTTGATGTCTCCGTTAATTCTAAATACTGGTAATAGCCTTGCTAGGTAGAATAATCTTTGTTGTAGGTCCTTGCTTTTCATCTGTTTGAATATGTTGTGCTGGTTCCTGTGGTCTGCAACATTCCTGTTGAGAAATCAGCTGACAGTTTTATGGGACCTACCTTGTTTGCAATTTATTGCTTTTACTAGAAGTCTGACAATGGTTTCAGAATACCTTTAACATACCAGCAAACTACAATAATTATATTCACATCAGTGCTTGGGGGGAAAAAAACATATATTGACATATTGATTTCTGACCTAGTTTAATTTTTATTGTGTTTAAAATCTTCTTATATTTATGCAAGAGGCCTTAAAAGACACCAGAAAAGATTAAAACCGTGTTTATAAAATAATTATTTATAACAACTTTTTAATGTATCTTTGTCATTTCTTTCTTTTTTAATCCTCACCAGAGGATATTTGTCCATTGATTTTCAAATGTAGTGGAAGGTGAGGGCGGGGGGCGGGGGGAGGGGGAAGAGAGAAGAGAGAGAAAGAATTATGGTCATGAGAGAGATATATTGATTGTTGCCTTTTTCACACACCCTGACCAGTTTCGGGGATTGAACCACAATGCAGGTATGTGCTGTTGACCTGGAATCAAACTTGAGACCTTTCGGTCTGTGGGCCAACGCTCTGACCACTGAGCAGGGCATCTTTGTCATTTTTATTTGATGATCCTTTTGAAACTACTGTATGGCAATAGTTCTTAACCTGAGAATCTGACCAAAGCTATGGATTCTTTTCCCAGAAAAATACCATTGAAATACTACGGTGGAAATGTCAAATTGGCAAGTAGTTAAATAGGTTTGAATTTTAGGGGAACAGTCCATGATGGACTGTTACAGGTGGTAGTGGATGGTAACTGACAACAGGGATACAACAATAGCTATCCAGTGTGAATGAATCAAAATTATACCTTTTTTTTTTTTTTTTTTTGTCAGATTGGCAAAAAATGTTTCTTGGTGTGCCTCAGAATTTTAGTAATGTGTTTATGTGTGCCATGAGATGAAAAAGGTTGAAAATTGCTGTCCTGGATGGATTAAATGACCTGTACGCCATTAATTTTAAGAGAGAGCTGGTTTAGTGGAACAATTCATAGGTCTTAAAGCCATATTGGAGGGGGTGAGGACATCAGGAAATAAAGACAGGGGATAAGTGGAGAGGCTGATTCCATCATTTATAGTAACTGCCCTGTTATTAAGACCTCGGTGCCAATATTTGAAAAACAATAATTATATTTTTCAAATATTGGTATAGGGAATAATTGGTATAGGGAATTATAAGTGACTTAGCTTTCCTATTGTCATTCACTTGGTTCTATTTAAATTTTACCAATGAAAGCCTCAATTTCATTAATTATTTACAGAAACATATTTGCCTTTTTCATAAGGTAAGTAGTTGTTGAACTAAGCAAATATGAATGACCTCAAAATACTTTTCTTTACTGGCTCTCAGAATAAAATTTCTATGTTAGTAGATCCTGAACCAAGAGCCCCTGTGATCTTTTAACTCTAGTTAGAGAGCAAGGCAACATATATTTTCAAGTCAGTTGTGAATGAGCATGTGCCTGTTTTGACCTTTCTCCCACATCACCTTTCTCACATTCCTAGGTCACTGCTTTATATGTCTTTACTTTTTAATCTAACAAAAGGAACACCTTAATTCCCCTGGAGTAATGGATAGCCCAAAGTTTCCAGTAGTCAATGATTTATTAAGAGTGTGAATTGATTTCATACTGCTGTTCAGAAAATAGTAACTCATTTGTTTCAAAGTAATTTTTAGAAACTAAAATTATCAGCATATGTTTATAAGTTCTAGTCCTGAGTTAGTCCTATTTCTTAACAAAAGTTCTTTACTTAGGTTTCTTATGAATCAATGAATTATTCATTTCCTCTCTACTTGTAGATGGTTTTAAAAATAAGTATAAAAATATTCAAGAAACTGCACATATCTAAAGTATAAACTTAGATATTTTGACATATGAAATATATGAAACCACTACCATAGTCAAGATAGTGAAAATATCCACCATCTTCAAAGGTTTCCTGATGCCCATGGTAGCCCCTCTTTCCTGCCTGATCCCTTCTCCTCTGGACCACTGGTTTGCTTTAGGTCACTATAGATTAATTTGCATTTTCTAGTTCATACAGTGTGTGTGTGTGTGTGTGTGTGTGTGTGTGTATGTGTGTATGTGTGTATAAAAGACTAAAATGCAAAGTGTCACCTCAGGATTTCAACTGGGAGACCGGTTCGATTATTCGCTATGATGTGCGCTGACCACAAGGGGGCAGCATGGAATGAAGGAAGGCCCCGACCAGCCAGCAGCCGTAAGGCTCCAATTGGCCCTGATCACTGGCCAGGCCTAGAGACCCTACCCATCCACAAATTTCATGCACCGACCTCTAGTATGTACGTATGTTTGTGTGTGTGTGTATATGTACACACACACACACACACACACACACACTCTTGTGCTCAGCTCCAATTACTCCACATTGTTATTTTGAGATTCATCCTTATTGTGTGTATAAAGAGTTCATTCACTTTTGCTATTGAATAGTATTCCATTGTATGTATATATCACAATTTGTTTAATCATATATGGGTTGGTAGACATTTGAGTTATTTCCAGTTATTTGCTATTACAAATAAATAGTCATGTACAAGTCTTTCAAAATACCTTTTCTCTTTGGCAAATACCTGGGAATTTATATGAGAGGTATAAATTTATTTTTTTTTAAAGAATCTGTCAAAATGTTTTTCAAAGTGGTTATACCATTTTATATTACCATCAGCAGTGTAAGTTTCCTTACATCTTCACCAATACTTCATATGGTCAGTCCTTTTTATTTTAGCCATTTGAATATAGGTGTGTAGTGGTATCTTATTACGGCTTAATTTGCATTTTCCGAATGACTAAAGTTCTTGAGCATCTTTTCAAATATATATTGTTTTTTGTTGAAATTTCTGTTCAAATCCAAATTTTTAAATTAGTTGTCTTATTGTTGAGTTTTAAGAGCTTTTACATTAATTCAGATATAAGTCCTTTAGCCAATATATGCTTTGCAAAAATTTTCTCCCAGTCTGTAACGTGTCTTTTCATTAAGAAAAAAAAATGTTTTTATTGATTTCAGAGAAGGGGAGAGAGAGAAGAATATTGATCGGCTTCCTCCTGCATGCCCCCTCCTGGAGATTGAGCCCACAACCCAGGTACATGCCTTGACTGGGAATCAAACTGGCAACTACCTGTTGTATGGGACAACGCTCAACCAACTGAGCCACACTGGCCAGGCTTCAGTGTATTTTTCATCTAAAAAATTAAAGTCTTATTAAGATGCTTGATTTCATCTTTTTCATATCTTAATTTTTGAACATATAGAATATAGTTATAATAAATAACTTTTAATATTCTGATGTGCTAATTCTAATAACTGTCAGTTCTACATTGGCTTTGATTGCTTGATTATGCTCTTCATTATGAGTTGTGATTTCCTTCTTTTTAGCATGCTGGGTAATCTTTGATTAGACGTCCATCATTATGACTTTTACTTTGTTGGTTGCTGGATATCTTTATATTCTTATGAATTTCCCTGAGCTTTGTTTTCAGAGACAGTTAAGTTACCTTGGGGCTTTTCTTTTACAGTTTGTTAGGTGTGTTTGGAGCAGTGCTCGGTCTAGGACTAATTATTATTTCCCCCAACTGTCAGATCGTCCTGAAAACTACCCAGTGCCGTGTGCACGATGAGTTTTTTAAGTCTGACTGGTGGAATGAGGCACTGTTCCCTGATGTCCCTTTAGATGGCTCTGTCCCTCACTCAGGCCTTTCCTCACGTGCACGCACAGTACTCTGCTGGGTGTTAGAAGGAGCCCCTCTGTAGGTCTCTGAGTCCTCTCTCTGAGCAGCTCTCTCCTCTCTGGTATTCTGTCTTGTGAACTCTGGTTGCCTGTGTGTCCCTGCACTTTCACCTTCATCTCCTCAGCTCAGGGAATCCACTAGGCTCTGCCTCAACTGCTCTGCCCTGTGCTGCTGCCTGGAAACTACAGCCAGTAAGCTCGGGCAGTTACTGGGCTCACCTCATCTGTCAAGGATCATTGTCTTTCGTTGCCTGATGTCCAGAATTTTGAAAACAATATTTTGTGTGTGTGTATTTTGTCTGGTTGTTTAGTTAGTTGGCTGGTTTGTTTGTTTGTTTGTTTATGTACTAGAGGCCTGTTGCAGGAAATTGGTTTAAGGGGCTCCGCCACGAGGCCACCTCCTCTGCCTCAGCCCTGCCTGCCGCCACCTTGGCCCTCGCAGCCCCAGCTTCGTCCGGAAGGTCGACCAGAAGGATATCCAGTAATTAGCCTATTATGCTTTTATTATTATAGGTTTGGTTGTGGAGGGTGGCAGGGAAGGTCTGATTTCTGGACCCTGTTACTCCATTTTTGCCAAAATAGAAGTCCTGTCTACTTATAGTTTTAATCTCAGAAAGCTCTTGTACTTGGATTCTTATAGACAAATTCTTGATAGTAACCTCTCATTTCCATTTGAGAGGCTCTCTCTATATACATGAGCTGTAGGATAAACTCAGATGAACCAGCTGGAGTTTTAGAAGCTGTTCCAAACTGATTTTCTGACTCCCTTAATTCTGGGAATTTCCTGAGTTATTTGGACCTAGAAGTTCATTTTAAATAACGATTTAAAAGAAAAATTCCTAAATGTGTTATGATTTTATTCTCAGAATTAAGAGAAAGAAAGAGCAGCAACGTTATGCTGAAGAGCAGAGGCTATTAAGAAGGAACTTTCAAGAAGAGCCATATTCAGGGGAGATGAGCGAAATGTTAGCGCAGCTACAGCTCGAGGAAATGAAAGAAGCCAGAGAAAAACAGCAACGAAGAGAAAGGGAATACCAAAGGTACTTCCAATTTTTTTGCATGAAATTCTGGATCTAGAGGAGACTTACGCTCATTCTCTTTCTAATGGTTCACTGATCATACTGTGTTTCTATAGGTATCTAGAAGCTTTAAGGGTCCAGATCCGAGAGAAAATGCAGCTTTATAATATTACTTTACCTCCACTATGTGGCTGTGGTCCTGACTTTTGGGATGCTCACCCTAATACCTGTGCCAACAATTGTATTTTCTATAAAAACCACAGAGGTAAGTCTCTTCAAGGAATGGTTATGGCCTGGTGGCAATTTTTTAAAAGTAATTTAGCATTTATTGAGTGCTTACTATAAGCCAGAGGCTGTGACAACCCTTTACAAAACAACCCCGAGGCAATAGAAATAAGTGATAGTGAGTTCTATTTCTCTTTGAGATCTGTTATCATCCTGTGTTTCTATTTCATCATTGATGTTTCTATTTCTCTTTCCCTCTCCCTTCCTCTCTGAAATCAATAAAAATAAAACCTTACAGATCTGATGATGCCATTTTCCTATTCTCAAATCTCTGGGTTTTTACAGTACAAAATGCACAGCCTATTTGGTATATTTTCTCTCTGGCCCCACACAAGACTCTCTAGCCTTATCAAACTTGCTATTGTCACACACCAATACATGTCACATTTTTTGTTATACCTTTGGGACCTCACATGTTGATTCCCTGCCTAAAATGCCTTCTTTTCTTTACTCTTATTAAACCTTCAGACCATCTGAAATGTCCACTCTCAAATAGTTTAATTCATTCCAAACTTCATTATGTGATGACATCTTGTGTGTGTCTCTGGGTTGACAGTCTTGCACTGCAATTATTTTTGTCCATCCTCTCCATTATCTTTTCTGTCCTCACGGAGAGTTTGGCATGTAGTAAGTACTCAATAAATATTTACTCAATAGGTAAAGTTAATACCTATGAAACTGGGCGGAGAAGCAGTAGTAATAGGAAAGAGGTTGGGAGAGCTGTTTAAAATGTGACTTCATTCATCAATGTTCAACCTTTATTTGCAGCATATACCCGGGCACTATATTCAGTCATCAATTCCTGTGATACTCCTAGGTGGACCTTGAGTCTTCGAGCTGCCATTCATAATTTTGCTTCTGCATACAGACGGACTTTGAAATATGTATATTTAGAATCTGAAATCAACTGTTAGTATTTCAGCCTTCAACTTAAAATCAGCTCTCTGAGAGATGGTTTAGGAAAAACTGTTGAAGTGTTAATCTGGAAAGAAAGACTGCCCGTGTAACAACAGTCTCTACAATTATATTGGAACCATTGTTTCCGTCTCCATCTTGGGACCATGATGGAAAGTTGACTTCCATACTTGTCTCTTTGCTATGAACCATGTAGACTCTTATTGTTTTAAAAACGATCAATCAGACCAGTAAGGTTTATCTTACTTTGCTCTGTTTCGATCTGAAGAGATCATGAGAAATTTTGGACATTATCTTGTTTATTGTCTTTCTAAAACTGTATCTTTGAGTCTTAACAGAATTGGAAATGTCTGGATGAAGCAGAAAAGAAAGATGATGAAATGAGTTTCTGAGCATCAGTGGCCATCTAGATTCCTGCAGCTTTTCTAGTTGTGTATATAACAATTAGAGATAAAAAGGATTTGAATTTGATGCACTTTTTTTCTAAAAATTTCTTTTGGGGGGAGGGTTGGTTTGTGTGTGTGTGTTTTTTAACTTATTACCTCTTTCACCATTCAGTGAATTGGGCATAAACCTTTTTAATTTTATAATTTTTATTGCCAAAAAAGGGAAAATAAACCCTCTGTTTTTTGAGCATCTTCTTTGTGAAATAATTATGAGTGACATTTCAAAAGTGAGTTTGAAGTCAAAGTGAGTAAAATTCTGCCTCAGTTCCCAATCTTTTAAAAATGTGGTGAATGGCATACCTACAGAACAGATGAAATAAAAATTCCTATAGTTAGTATTAATTTGTTATTTTTTATAGTGCTTTTTAACATAAAATATGAAAAGGTTTAATATTGTGAATTAAAGCACACTGGCAGTTTCTTTTTCATACTTTCTCTAATGAACATTGTTGAGCATTTAGGTTATGTCTCAAAAACACCTAAACATCTAGCCAGGTCATGGAAAATAAGGATTAAAATGATCTTTGTGACAAAATTTATTGGTTATTTAACTAGATTCATTGTCCAGTTCAGTCAAAATCCTTAAATAACTATATCCTTGATTCAGCCTTTATAACAGCTTTATTGAGATATAATTCATATGCCATATGATTTACCCGTCTGCAGTATACAATTCAGTGGTTTTAAGTATATTCTGTCAAATTTCAGAACACTTTTGTCACCCTAAGGCGATGCCTCCATGATCCAGCAATCCTACTTCTGGATCTATATCCAAAAGAATTGAAAACAGGATCTTGAAGAGAGATTTGCACGCCCATGTTCATTGCAGCACTAATTCGCAATAGCCAAGAAGTGGAAGTAACCCAAATGTCCATCTACAGATGAGTGGATAAACAGAACGTAGCATAGACATAAAATGGAATACTGTATTCTTCAGCCTTAAAAAAAGAAAGAAACCCTGTAACATGTTTTAATATGGATGAGCTTTAAGGAACCATAATCATCTAAGTGAAGTAAGCAATCACAAAAAGACAAATACTGTATGATTACATTTATATGAGGCACCAAGAGTGCTACAGTTCATAGACACAAAATTTAGAAAGGTCATACCCAGGAGCTGGTGGGAGGGAAATGAGAAGCTGTCTAATGGGCATTTTCAATTTTGCAAGATGAATAAGTCCTGGAGGTCTGTTTCACAACTATGTTTTGATTAGGAAGTAAGGCAAGGGGTTTTTATGAGAACGGGAAGGGGAACAATTACATTAATAGAAGGAAAGGATTTCAGTGGGTGATAATAAGCTAAGAAATTGCTAAAGGTGCCAATAAGCTACCATAGTGGTGATAATTCTGAAGAATGTTTCTAGTTTTCAGTTTAGTAGTCAAAACAACTAGGAACAACTGTAAACCTACTTTTGCCCCACCCTGTACAGCCAGAAGGGGAATTGCTTGGTTTTAAAACAGTTCAATATTTTACTTTTTAAGGAACCTCTTTACTGTTTTTCATAGTGGCTACACCAGTCTACATTCCCACCAGCAGTGCACAAAGGTTCCCTTTTCTCCACATCTTTGCCAACACTTGCTTATTGATTTATAGATGACTAGAGGCCCATTGCAGGAAGATTCCTGCAAGAATAGGGCTTCATGCAGCCTCAGCGAAGCCTGCGAAGGCGGGCTTTTCTCCTGCTGCCATCTCTCACAGCAGCCACTGCCTCCTCCTGACACCCTGCCCCACTTTCCGCTTTCCCTCCCTCTTCCTTGTACACTGTCTCCAGTCTCTGCTCAGAGCCTGCATATGCAAATTAACTGCCATCTTTGTTGGGTTAATTTGCATAGTCTGATTGGCTGGTGGTCGAAGCGAAGTGATGGTCAATTTGCATGTTTCTCCTTTATTAGTGTAGATAGCCATTCTGACAGGTAGGGGATATCTCATTGTGATTTTACTTAGCATTTCCCTGATGATTAGTGACCTTGAGCATCTTTTCATATACTTATCAGCCATCTGTCTGTCCTCTTTGGAGAAATGTCTATTCAATTTCTCTGCTCATTTTTTAATTGTATTTTTGTGTTGATTTTTTTGTAAGTTTTGGATATAAACCCCTAATTGAATGTATCATTGTCAAATATCTCCTTCCATTCAGTAGGCTTTCTTTACGTTTTGTGGATGGTTTCCTTTGCTGTGCAAGGTTTTTAGTTTGATGTAGTCCCATTTATTTTTTTTCTTTTGTTTCTTGCCCAAGGAGATATATCAAGAAAATATTACTAAGAGAAATGTCTGATATTTAACTGTGTATGTTTTCTTTAAGGAGTTTTATGCTGTCTAATCTTACATTTAAGTCTTTAATCCATTTTGAGTTTATTCTTGTATACATTATTAGAAGATGGTCTAGTTTCTTTCTTTTTTGCCTATATCCAATTTTCTCAATGCCATTTATTGAATAGACTGTCTTTACCCTATTGTAAGTTCTTCCCTTCTTTGTCAAATATTAATTGACCATAAAGGTGTGGGTTTATTTCTGAGCTCTCTATTCAGTTCCATTTATCCCTATGTCTGTTTTTAAGCCAGTACCATGCTATTTTTGAGTACTGGATCCTTGTAGTATAATTTGATATCAGGTAGTGTGATACCTTCAACTTTGTTCTTTCTCAAGATTGTTGTGGCTATTCATATTTTTGGTTTCACATAAATTTTGGATTATTTGTTCTAGTTCTGTGAAAAAGGCTATTGACATTTTGATAGGAATTACATTGAATGTGCAGATTGCTTTGGGTAGTATGAACATTTTAATGATGCTAACACTTCCATTTATTTTTTTCAGTTTCTTCAGTATCTTATATTTTTACTTCCATGGTTAAATTTATTAGCAGGTAGTTTTATTTTATTGGTGCATTTGTAAATGGAATTGTTTTCTTAGTTTCCCTTTCTAGTAGTTCATTATTAGTGTTTAAAAATGCAATTGATTTTTGAATATTTATCTTGTATCCTGCTACTTTACATAATTCATCAGTTAGTTCTAGTAATCTTTTGGTGGAATCGTTAGGGTTTTCTATACATAGTATCATGTCATCTGCCAAAAAATGACAGTTTTACTTCTTTCTTTCCAATTTGGAGGACTTTTTTTTAATTCTTCTTGTCTGATTGCTGTGGCTAGGTCTTCCCGTACCATGCTGAATAAGAGTAGTGTAACTGGACATTCCTGTCTGGTTCCTGATCTTCAAGGAAATGTTTTAAGATTTTGACGAATGGGTATAATGTCAGCTGTGGGTTGTTATATATGGCCTTTATTATATGGAGTTGTACTCCTCCTATTCCCACTTTGTTGAGAGCTTTTATCATAAATGGGTGCTTCCTGCATCTATTGCTGTGATCATAGGATTTTTTTTAATCCTCACTTGAGGATTTTTTTTTTTTTATCCTCAAATTTTCCATTGACTTTAGAGGGAGTTGAAGAGATAGGGAAAGACAGAAAGAAATATTAATGTGAAAAAAAAACATTAATTGGTTGCCTCCTGCACATACCATTACCAGGGCCTGGGCTGGGGAGGAGCCTGCAACCAAGGAACATGCCCTTGGCAGAAATTGAACATAGGGCCCTTCAGTCGCAAGCCAATGCTCTATCCACTGAGCCAAACCGTCTAGGGCTGATCATATGATTTTTAGCCTTCATTTTGTTTATGTGGTCTATCATGTTAATTGATTTGTAGATATTGCATCAATCTTACATCCCAGGAATAAATCTTACTTGATCATGGTGTAATGTTTTGCTGAATGTAGTTTGCTAATATTTTGTTGAGAAATTTTGCATCTGTTGGACTATAATTTTCTCTTAGTGTCTTTATCTGGTTTTATAATTCAGATAATGCTGGCCTTGTAAAGAGAGCTTGGGAGCCCTGGCTGGTGTAGCTCAGATGGTTGGGCGTCATCCCGTTCACCAAAAGGTTGCCAGTTTGATTCCCAGTCAGGGCACATGCCCAGGTTGTGCAGCGTGTGGTATGTAGCCGGTCACTGTTTCTCTCCCTTCCTCTCTCTTTAAATATATTTTATTGTTTTTGTACAGAGAGGAAGGGAGAGAGATAGAGAGCTAGAAACATCGATGAGAGAGAGTCATCGATCAGCTGCCTCTTGCACACCCCCCGCTGGGGATATGCCCGCAACCAAGGTACATGCCCTTGACCGGAATCGAACCCGGCTCCCTTCAGTCCCCAAGCTGACGCTCTATCCATTGAGCCAAACCGGTTTCGGCCCTTCCTCTCTCTTTCTAAAAATCTAGGGATAGGTTTTACTGTGGAGAGTGTGGTAAGAGTGGGACAAGTTCATTCAGGACTTTAGCATGATCTTGTCCGAGTAGATGTAAGTTCAGGAAGTCACAGTGGAGTTAGGAGGGCAGAACAGAAGAACTGAGGAAAGTATGGGCAGACGTCCAGTAAGAGGGAACATAACTCCAGAAAAGCGTGGCTGTGCTGTTCCCCAGAGGGACTTAATCAACTTCCAGGATCCAGGCTAGGAGGTGGAACACACATGTGATAGAAGTAATGTCAGCATGTGGTGGTGGTAGAGGATATTCATGTACTATTGTAGTTTTCCTGCAACAACAAAAATGAGAAAGCTGATGCATAACATATTTTCCTGCACAGTCCAACCCAAACAGCTTGCACAAATTGCTCTAATTTAGTCAAGTCTGTCCTTTCCCTTGCATTGTTCCAGTTTATTACTTAATTGTCCAGGCCTCACCCTTGCCTTTTATGATGGGCAGGAATAAGATTGCCAACTTTAATTTCTGAAGAGAGAAGGAGAGAGAGAGAGAGGAAAAACATCCATGCACCCTGACTAGGGATCAAACCTACAATCTTTTGGTGCGTTGGGCAACGCTCCAACCAACTGAACCATACTGGCCAGGGTGATTGCCAAGTTTTTTTTACTACCCACTGGGTGAAGAGTCTAGAAACTGCTGCTTTTATTTCTTCTAACCATGTAAGATGTGATAAAGGAGATGGCAGTTATTACTTTTCTGTGTTTATTTATATGGATTCTGATTTTGGAAGCAAAATATTTCTTTTCATTTTCCTCTAAGTGTAGTGAAAATAGTTTATTTTCTTTGTGTCCCATTTTGGGTATTTTTTTCATGCTTCTCAGGAAGGAAAGATTTGGAAGATTGGAAATATTATCGAGGATAAAATCAAACGTGTTCCTGG